CCCCAAAACCCCAAAACCCCAAAACCCCGTCTAGCTATCATCGAAGGAAATTTAAATAATCCATCTTTTAATTTAATAGAAGTCTGAAATATATTGGCTATAGCCATAGAGCAATATTTTATTCTTTCACTGGGGTCTTATGGCTGAGCCTGGGATCCACTACCTGCTCCCCGCTGACTACTATCTTTTCACTCTACTGCCAACACTCGATGCTTCTAAGTATCGACTAGTGGTAAATTGATCAATTCCAGAGGATCTTTTATAAAAAGATAATTCAGTGTCCTTGTCAAACATGCTTTGATAGCTTATAGGAGTCTTGATCTGAGGAGAGTCATCGATAGCTCCAGAAAATTTGAATGGTTCTCCGGAATGCTCTACAGCAAAACTGCATTCTCTCGGTCTAGGGTTTAGATCTATGCCATTCTTTGATGATTGCATCTTCATCATTGATTTAGGCCTTGCACTTAGTTCTGTTCCCTCCTACCAATTATAATCACCGGGTCCTGGTGTTATTCTTTATGGAGTAATTTCATAATGTCCTATGAATTTAGAGCCGTAGCCAAGAGAAATTTATTTGAATCTACCATTCTTAACTAATTTTTCCTAGATTTAATATTTATTTGGAGGTGGTTTGCAAAGTATTTCTTTGCTTGGGTCGAACCAGCATGTCTTTGATTTCTCATGTAGTGTAAATACAGGAGATTTATGTTTTTATTTTGTAGGTGAATAAGCATTTGGACCAGGCATGTTTTACTTAGGATTCATTTTTACCCCTCTCTTGACATCGAAGTCAGATGTATGCTTGTATGCTTCGTATGACAGTCCAAAGGTACACTTCGATTTGTCAGGGGACAAGTTTTTTATTTTTTAATCTATTTCTGATTATATATCATATTATGTTGGAGCTGGTCTTTCTGTGTATTCCTTAAGTAGTCTTTAAAACAATTCTCTATTGCCAAAGCCAAAAGAGGATCCCTTTTTGTGTTGAAAGTATTTAGGCTGACTAACCCAATCAGTCTGATTCAAAATTGCAGAAGAATCAGGCTTCTTTGGTAACTTAAATCTTTAGCCTTAAGGAAATCTAAAAGATAAAATACTGTTTCTAAGAGTATTAGCTGATTTGAAGTTTGACATTTCTTTTGATGTTACATTAGTAGACAGCTATAAATATTAAATTCTAAACTAAGTTTATCCTTACCCTTCTAGACTAACTATCTGGAATCTTATAATCATATTTTTAGGATTGATTGTCTATATAGGACTAATCATTTTAATTTGAGATAAAAGTTCTCTTTAACTGCTAGTATTACCTCACAATTAGCTCCGAATCTTTTCTTCGCTTTGGCATTTACTATGTCCTTGGTCTCACCTACTCTGCTTAGACAGAGGGTACATTATGCTATTAACTCTATTTTCTCATCATTTTACGCCTTTTGTATTGAGAAGTCAAGAGTTATAAAGCCTCATTTACTTCTGAGTCTTATTCCATTATAATTAAAGAATTTAATTTTAGTAAAAGGAATAATTAATTAATTTTTGAGAGAAATATAAATTACTTAAAAGGGAATAATTTATAGTTAAGGGGTTTTGGGGTTTTGGGGTTTTGGGGTTTTGGGG